TCCATTTTTTACTAAATATTGCTAAAAAAATTTTTATTGATTAGCATTACGTTCCAGAGATGGAGAAAAAATATATACAATAAAATTATTATTAAAAAAATGTATTTGGAAACTACAAATTTCAAGATGTTTCTACATATAAGCGGTCACCCATCTAAGCCATATACCTTCTCGAGCGTTGCTTAATCTTTATGATTGTTCGCGAACTGGTGCTTTGTGATGATCCATGAATACTGAATGCTACTGGATGTATACCAATAGTATATCAGTATAATAGATCAGTATAATAGATCAGATAGTTATCAGAAAGGTGAAATATGTATAGTTAAGACATATTATACTTATAAATAAATATAAAGTTACAATTTTTGCATAATAGAGAATTCAATTTTCCTTCGGAATGCTGTTCTTCTATTGAATATCATATTATGTTGTATGTCGCGCCGACACAGCATAATTTTATAATATTAAATTCATGCAAGTATACGTCGACGCTATTGAAAATTAATGCGAGTAATAGGTGTTGCAATTTTGAAAAAAAGATCCGTTAACCTTCCAACAATATTTTAATGTAAGGTTAATTTGTAAAACTGCTGAAATATTGACATAAAATTCCATTAATGTTTCAACAACATTTATAATGTAAGGTTACATTATAAGGTTAGTGGTAAATACCAATAATCTTCTCACTAAGCTATGTAAGATTGTAACCTCCTTGTAACCTTAGTGCAATATCTGGTGCTGTGAGGGTAGCTTTTTACTGAATCTAACAAGTAGTAAGAGTTCTAACAAGTTGTAAGAGTAGAAACCAATTATAATAAAAACTCACTGAGCGCTCACTGATCTATTTTGTCTGATGAACGAAATCAGTATTTATTCTAACATATATGTATATATATAATATTTTTGATATTTCTGCAATGTTACAAATGTAACCAAAGACACTGCAACAATCTTGTTAAAACATTTCAGAAAGATTTCTGTGATATTTCATAAACGTTTCTTGTGGACTAAAGCAGACATTTTGACGTTGCTGCAATCTTGCAGAGATGTTTCAGAAACATTACGCAACGTAACTGTGATAATTTCATTATTTCAATGTTATGTTCCTGCAGCGTTACAGAAACCAATCTGTACTGTCAGGGATTATATATACAGAAACTTGTGTACTCAGATAAATACTTTATTGTTTAAAAGCGAGGTATAAAACAATAGAAATTTATAATTTTGTTTGCTGAAATCTGCGAAATAATTATTCAATGATGTAAGTACACATTATATTGACAACGATGGAATATGATAATTTTTCTATAATATATTTTATTTAATGATGTAGGGATATTCTTGGATTAAATTATTTAGGTATTTATAAACATTGTATTGCTTATTTTATATTATCAGATAAAGTGATAGGATCATATTGAGAAATGAAAAGCTTGTGTACTCATTGTCAGATAAATTTTTTATCATTTAAGTAAGATAAGATATAAAACGATAAAAATTAATAGTTTTTTTATCTAACGTGATATCTGATAGATATGAGAAATTGAGATAAAATTGTATAGAATTCCCACCAAATTTATATAGATTACTATTGTTTCTTATCAGACTTTTTAAGCAAAGTGCGTTTAACAACACAATTAATTTTACTACTTCTTTTTAGAATTCCTCATCCGAACAAAATAGGGCAATAAAAAATATATGCATTATCCTAGTATTCCAATAACGAGATCAATAATATAATTCAGATAGACACAACAACAGTAACAACAAAAAAATATTTATAATTGTGATGTAGAGAACATTAATGTCAAAACACAAATTGAAATTTGTATATATATATATATATATATATATCAAACCAATGTTATCATTTTATGTCCCCCTCGAAATCCGAAAACTTTTGTCTGAAAAATTTTTTTTTCCCGGGCTTGATTTTCGAGATATTCGACTGGATGGATTAAAATGGTCCATCCTGTATACACGTTCATACATATATGTATATGTATATATACATA